TTTTTTTTTTCAAATAAACATTGAACATTGGAAACGGAATAATTTGCTTTATAAAACACATATTTCAAAATAACCGATTTAGTGTCAGGATCTGTGAACGAAATATATGTGCTGCTATATATTTTTGAAGTCCTCACCTCAAAAAACATGGTGGATATTATGTGAGAAGCTCGTTTTTTGTGGTTAGGAAAAAATAATGGAGCACAAGGGACTTCTAATTCTCGTCNACATGGTGGATATTATGTGAGAAGCTCGTTTTTTGTGGTTAGGAAAAAATTCTGACATAATGGAGCACAAGGGACTTCTAATTCTCGTCCAGCGCAGGAAAGGATCATCTGATTCCCGAGCGGCAAATTTTTTTTTAAGTGGCTTTGTATACATACCAGAGACCCACAAAAAAAGTATCACAATCTGGCAACGATACATATGTATGTATTCTCTTCTCTTGTATTTTGATGCGTTTAACACGAATTTGATTTCCGTGCTCCTTCATCAAGTCAGGATTTTTTCCTTATCTAAAAAGTGCCTGCCACATAATATCCGCCATATTTTTTAGGTTAGGGTTGAACCCAGACCCGTTCTGCTGACTACACACAAGGCAACCGTTGAGCAACGTGTTGAGGCAACCTGTTTTTCTTATTCAATACATACGAAGCAACCGTGGAGGCAACCATTGCGGCAACCTCAGTAGTGTGTGCTCTGTTATAAAATAAAAATGCGGAAGAAAATTTTGTTTTCTACAAAAACACCTTTTCAGCTCAATTGTTTTCATGGAACTAAGCCAATAAACATACACAACGATACACATGAGGCAACCGACACTGCAAGGAATACAAAATATCCAAAGATTGTAATTTTCGGGCAACACACAGTGGGAAATTCTCTTAATCTAGCACGAAAAACCCCTAGCTTTCGTTTAAAGTAGGGATGCCCAAATCAGCACATATGTGTCGCGGGCGACTGCGCGTGCAAAGCTTTGCACAGCGGTGCTGGGCAAGCGCGGAAGCAAAAAGTTATCGGAAGGGGAAAACGAAGTCAACAGGATAGTGAGATTGTATGTGTGACAGTGATGGAAAATGAGTGTGCATTGTGCCATTTTCGGCCCTTTCGGAAGCAGCCGGCACCTTCAGCACAATCGATTAATTTTCGGCACTATTTTTGCGTAACTGAATGCAACTAATAAATATTTCTTTTGGATCCGCAATTAAAAATATTTTTAAATTAGTGTTTTGCCGGCTCGAGGTCAATTTTAAAAAATGCTTTTATGAAAACACAAGTTTTTTGGTGTTTATTTCCGATATATTTCGGTTACGCTTCGGTAACCGTCCTCAGGGCAACTATTGACAAACATGTGAAACATAAAATATACGTAAACACAAATTCCAAAAAAAAATAATTAAAAAGAAAATGTATACATACATTAATTTACACGTCCGCACTGTTTGACGTGGAGTTTGGTACTGTCGATTTGTTTGTAAGCAAGTGTCTGTACAAGTGAGCGCAGTTTTCAGTGTCCGTTTTGTAGTTCAGTCTTATGTTTGCCGGTGTGTTTATTATATGTAACATTTCTAATCCGATTTGTGTTGTGCTAATCTAGTTTTTAATTTTGATTTTGTGGTTCCTACATATAGGCTGTTACATGACTCGTTGTTTTTACCTTTACAAGGGATTTTATAAATAACATTACTTTTTTCCAATTCGGGTATTTTTGACTTCGTTTTATTAAATATGTTTTTTAATGTATTTGTAGGTTTGTGGGCTATTTTTATTTTATCTTTGTTGTAGCAGTCTGATTTAGCCAGGCGTTCTGACAGATGAGGGACATAAGTTAATGATTTAAATATTGTAGGATTTTCTGAGCTATGCTTACTGAATTGCGATTTTGATTTTTTTAATAATGTATTTATAATATTGTCCGGGAAATCATTGTTTTTTAAATAATGATCGAACNTAGAATTAAAATTGATGATTCGTCCTGATGATGTTGGTTTCTTATACCACCTTAATTTTAATTGGTTTCCTTGTCTGATTATTATGGAGTCTAGATAAGCTAATTTTCCGTTGTCCTCTAATTCTATTGTGAATTTTATATTCCTGTGAAAAGAATTCAGTGCGTCCAGTGTATTTTGTACCTCATTTTCATTTATTATGGCAAATAAATCATCTACATATTTCGTTAATAATCTTGGTGGTCGTCCTAATTTTTTAATCGTGTTATCCAACAACTTTTCCATTATAATATCTGCAATGACAGGTGAGGCAGGGGATCCCATAGGCATTCCTTTTAACTGGGTATATATCGTGTCGTTAAATTTAAAGTACCTATTCTCTTGAATACAAAATTTTACTATTTCCATAAAAAATTGCTTTGGTATCCTTGTGTGTTCTTTTATTATTGTCCATTTATCT